TGAGGCTTTGAGGACTGCAGTTGATGTGATCAACTTATCACCATATACAACCCTAAATGGTGATGTTGCAGAGCATGTATGGTCAGGGAAAGATATTTCCTACAGGTATTTGAGAGTGTTTGGTTGTCGTACATTTGCACATATTTCAAACAATAAGAGGTCCAAGCTGGATGGTAAGACTAAAGAATGTATTTTTCTTGGCTACTCACATGATCATTTTGGTTACAAGCTTTGGGATCCAAAAAAGCAGAAGGTGTTTAGAAGCAGAGACGTAGTCTTCTTTGAGGATCAAACTTTTGAAGATTTGAAGAAGAAGGCACCAGCCAATACTTCTGCAGAAGGATTAGTAGATTGTGACCCAATTACTCCTCCAGTATATCAGGGTGATGGGGGAGATATGCAGGAAGATAGTGTAGAGCCTGATGTTGATCTACCTGCAGGACATGTTGAGCAAGAAGAAGTTGGAGAGCAACTTCCCGCAGAACCTCAATTGAGAAGATCTTCTAGACAGCGTCAACCTTCTAGAAGATACTCTATAGATGAGTATGTGATGCTTACTGATGCAGGTGATCCAGAGAGTTACCAGGAAGCAGTTGAAAGTGAGCAGAAAGAGAAGTGGTTAGTTGCTATGCAGGAAGAGAAGGATGCTCTTCAAAAGAACCACACTTATGATTTGGTGCTACTACTAAATGAAATGAAGGCCTTGAAGAACAAGTGGGTTTTCAGGTTGAAAACTCAAGAATATTGTTCTCAACCAAAGTATAAAGCTAGATTGGTTGTGAAAGGCTTTGGTCAAAAGAAATGTATTGACTTTGAAGAGATTTTTTCTCCTATTGTTAAAATGTCTTCTATTCGTGTTGCTCTTGGTATTGCTACTAGCCAGGACTTGGAGATTGAGCAGTTAGATGTGAAGACAGCTTTCCTTCATGGGGATTTAGAAGAGAAAATTTATATGGAGCAATCAGAAGGCTTCAAAGTCAAAGGTAAAGAGAACTTTGTCTGCAAATTGAAGAAGAGTTTGTATGGGCTAAAGCAAGCTCCAAGACAGTGGTACAGAAAGTTTGATTCATTTATGACAGAAAATTGATACAAAAGAACGGCTTAGATCATTGTGTGTACATCAAATGGTTTGGTGAGGATTTTATTATTCTCTTACTTTATGTTGATGACATGCTTATTCTTAGGAAAGGTATATCTAAAATTGACAGATTGAAGAAGGAGCTGAGTGAGTCTTTTGCAATGAAGGACATGGGGCCAGCAAAGCAAATACTGGGTATGTAGATTTCCCGTGACAGGAAAAATAAGAAAATTTGGTTGTCACAGGAGAAATACATCGAGAAGGTATTGGAAAGATTTAGTATGAGCAATGCAAAACCAGTTAGTTCTCCTCTTGTAGGTCACTTCAAGTTGTGCTCAGAACAGAGTCCATTAAGTGATGAGGAGAAGGAGAAAATGTAAAAGGTTCCTTATGTTTCAGCAGTTGGAAGTTTAATGTATGCAATGATATATACGAGGCCAGACATCGCATATGCAGTTAGTGTTACTAGCAGATTTCTTGCAAATCCAGGCAAAGAGCACTGGGCAGCAGTAAAGTGAATTTTAGATATCTCAGAGGGAGCTCTAAGGTTTGTTTAAGCTTTGAAGGTGGACCATATGTGTTAACAGGTTACACAGATGCAGATATAGTAGGAGATATAGATACAAGAAAGTCTACTTCGGGTTATGTACTTACTTTTGCAGGGGAAGCTATGTCATGACAATCCAGGTTGTAAAGGTATATTGCTCTCTCTACCATAGAAGCATAATATATTCCTGCTACAGAGGTATGCAAAGAAATGTTATGGATAAAAGAATTCTTATAAGAATTGGGGCTGAAACAAGAATATTATGTGGTGCATTGTGACAGCCAGAGTGCCATCTATTTGTGTAAAAACCCAATGTTTCATTCCAAGTCAAAGCATATAGATGTCAGATATCACTAGGTCCGAAATGTATTTGAAGAGAAGCAGTTGCAGCTTTAGAAAATTCACACAGATGATAACGGAGCAGACATGTTGACAAAGACTTTACCAAAAGAAAGACAGGAGATATACCGACAGCTGGTCGGCATGGCTTCACATTGAGGAGTCATGGGACAACCTCCCTTATGGGCTGAAGGGGGAGGTTGTTGGGCTGACAGCCCATATTCAGCCCAATGTGGGCTTTATCAACCCACATCTCATCCTCTCTTAACCTAACCCTAATTAACATTAAGGGGGTGTGGGTGGCTGTGTTTTAGAGGTAGAAAAAGGCTATAAAAGAGCAGCAATGTGGAGAGATCTTTGAAGCAGAAAAGAGAAGAAGAAAAAGGCAGAAAAACAAGAGAAAGAAAGGGAAGAAAACAAGGATAACGTAGAGAGACTGTTCACAATCATCTAGCAGTGTTCTCATCTCAAGTTAAATCAAATCTACAGTAGACTCTTGCTGTGATTACTTGGGGATGTTTTAGATATTGTGGACAGTGACGTGATCCTTGTATCCTAGTTATTCTCTTGTGATTGTTGCTAGGGTTTAGGGCAAGAAATTGAGATGTGTATATTCATTATTCTCATAGTGGATTATCTTTAGTTTGTCCCGTGGTTTTTACCCTTCATATTGGAGGAGTTTTCCACGTATATCTTATGTTCTATTTTATTGTGATTACATTTAATTCTGTTACATATTATGGCCTGCTAGTATTTATTCATATACAAAAGTTATTCCGCATTATATCCCATCAGCCACGCCGTCGGGAAGGGGTGCTGGTTGGCGTTGGTCGGGATCCGGACTAGTTGGCTGCTCTCCTTCATGCACTGGACGATGATTCTCGGGCAGTTGGCAGCTCGTCTTCATGTGGTGGCCACGCTTTCCTGCAAAAATGGCCCTCATTGGGATCACCCGACGAGGCCCCTCCGATGAGCAAGTCAGTCGAGTGATCGATTCATTTTTTTCCTCCTCTGGCCAGATGCTGGCCAGGAGTCTTTATATTACTGTACGTGGGTCGATTGTACGTAGGTTGGCATGGTGGACGGGTCAAGCAGTGCTTTAGTACGGATTCTGACCTGGCGTGTCTTGGGGGCCAAAATATGTCGTATCACATCCCATTGAACATAGGAGGATGAATGATAGAAAGACCATCTTGAAAGTTGAAAAAAATCATCTCTCTTGAGTGTTAATCCAACGGAGAGTAATTTAGCTCTGATACCAATTGTTAGGACTGTGATGGCACTTAGAGCTGGGGGGGGGGGTGAATTAGTGCTTATGTAAACATTCATCAACTTGGAAATTCTTGTTCGATGAAAACCAATATCGGAAAGATGTTAACTTGAAAACACATTCATAAGTGTAGTGAAAATAAGAAATTAGTTTGCAATGAAAATGAAAAGCTTAAAGTAAATGCAAACCAAATTTATAGTGGTTTAGTCGTCATGACCTATAACCACTCTCGATTCCTCTTCACTCAAGGCCATTGGCTTCTAGTACCGATCTTCTTTCAATGGGTGAAGATCAACTACACTTACAACTCTTTCTCCTTTTCATAAGCTCAGGAGAGAACCTTTATACCTCTCTTTTAGATCTCATTCCTCCCTTAAATTCTTCTAACTCTAGGAGGAAGAGACTCTAAATCCTAAGAGACTTTCCAATTTTTCTCAAATATTCTTTCTCCCCTTTCAACTTAATTTTGTGTTTAGCCAAGCAGAAATATCAAGGGTATTTATAAACCCCAAATGGTTTTAAACATGGAGCAAAAAAAGATCTCATTCCAGGTTTCTCGGGTCTTGACGGTACCATCGCCTGTGTTGGGCGGTACTACCGCCTACAGCATTGACACTAGGTGGTACCATCGCCTAGTCTGATGGTACCACTACTTGACATAGTCTGGGAGACTATGTCTAAGCGGTACCATCGCCCAGTCTAACGGTACCATCGCTAGACCCTGCTATAGATTATTGAATGAGCCAAACAACAAGCATAATTCAGTCCTGATTCAGGCGTGATTGGCCCCAAATTGAGTTACCATTGTTTCAACCCAAAACTTACTCAATTAATCCTAAACTAACTCAATCTAGACATATGATTACAAGCATAAATCTTATGTTATCCGGCATGTCATTGGTTCATCCGGCGCTTCGTCCGATTCTTCGGCGCATCGTCCTCTCCTTCGACGTATTATCCAATCGGCATGTTGACTCCGGCAACTTTCGATCTCCTTGGCGTAATGTCCGATCCTTTAGCTCGATGCCTGAACTCACGACATAAAGCCTTTTACAGATATGTCGATCGATCCTTTGACCCGACGTCCAATCTTTTGACATGTTCTACTCCGACCCAATTCCTCCTGCTTTTTATCTTTTCTAATCGAAGTTAGTCTTACGTTATTTAAAATATAAATTAAATTATAATTTTATTAATTAATTTTATCAAAATTTGAGATTTAACACAAAAGATACTGTGATAATGACGAGGAGAAAGAGAACAAATTTTTAGCCAGGGGCGAGGTGATATTAGCCAAGGTGAAAGAGTAAAGGTGACGTGCAACACCACTCATGGTGGATGTCCAGTGAAAGATGTTGAGGTATTTGTCGGTTTGATAACAAAAGAAAAGGAGCCTCTAAATAAATAAAATCTAATTAGGGACATCATAAGCTACAAGCCCAATAATAAAGGTTTTTTCTTAAAGTAAAATGCCCAAATTGACGGTAGATGATCGGGAAGTTTCCATCGCACAAACTCGATTTGACCCGCTCATGAACTAATTGAATAAATATGCAATTAAGTGATAACTTGGTGCAAACATATAAAAATACAGGAAGAAATTTAAATTAAGCGGTATTTTTGTTATTGATTGCCCAGCCACTGTAACACGTGGGGCCCGTTGGGCAACGGTAACCCTTTGATTTATGAGGTAAGTAAACTGGTAGATTTCTTTTTTGAAAAATATTTGTCCAAGAGAGCAAATTCCATTCTCTTTTCTCCAACTTCGCAACTTCGACGCCATAATAATAGTTTTAATAGAAGAAGATACAAGCACAGCAAACCAACGCCACCGTCGTCTCTTCGTGAGGGTTTGGAAGTGAAGAAGATGAAGGAGAAGCCGTTTTGAGGAGGGAGTGAGACCAGATGGTAGCAGAGAATTCGCCCCAGATTGGGAGATGAAGGCGGCCCTCAACTCCCTGCACGCGCGGCCGGCGGCGATGGGGGCCGAGCGGAAGTGGATCGCCCCCCTGGCCGTCGGAGCTACCGTCTCCCTTGTCCTCCTCCTCTGTCTCACCACCTTCTCCTCCCCCGACGACCCCCTCGCCCTCCTCCCCCTTTCCCTCCTCCCTTCCGCGCTCCTCTCCCATCCCTCCAATCCCTTCGCCGCCCTCTACGCTCCCGTCTTCGTCGAACCCAAGCTCCGCCCCACCCCTCCCTCCTCCCATCTCCGCCCCTCTCCGCCCCCGCCCCGCCTCGCGTACCTTATCTCCGGCACCGTCGGCGATGGCAATATGCTCAAGCGTGTCCTCCTTGCCGTCTACCATCCCGCCAACCTCTACGTCGTCCACCTCGATCTGGAGGCCTCCTCGGAGGAGCGCGACGACCTCAGGAATTATATTGCCGGCCACCCGCTTTTTGCGTCTGTCAAGAATGTGAGGATGATCACCAAGGCGAACTTGGTCACGTACCGTGGGCCGACCATGGTGGCCAACACTCTCCATGCTGCGGCTATTCTGCTGAAGGAGGGTGGCAACTGGGATTGGTTCATTAATCTCAGTGCATCGGATTACCCGCTTGTCACCCAAGACGGTAAATAAGCTTCTTTTCCCCTTTTTGGACAAAATGCTCCTCTTATCCCATGGACTAAAAGCAAAAGCGTGGTTTTTCTGGCGTTTGGATTTAGATCTGCTGCACACTTTGTCGTACTTACCGAGGGATCTCAACTTCATCGATCATACCAGTAATATTGGGTGGAAGGCGTATGTTTGATAAAATTTATGTTGCATTTTTCCTTGACTTGCTTGGATTGGATAAGAATTGACTACTGTTTTGATCTGTGCTTGTAGGTTCCAGAGGGCGAAACCCATAATTATAGATCCAGGGTTGTATATGTCGAAGAAAGCTGATGTTTTCTGGATCCCTCAGAGGAGGAGTGTGCCTACTGCATTCAAACTATTTACAGGTATGATGAGTCTTTTAAGTCTAGGATTTTGATTTCTTGCATACCTGAATCAGACTATTTAATTCTCAGCAGAAATCAGTTCCAAGCTAAGGCTTTATTCGGCTGGTTTTGTGATCAATGAATGTGATTGTTCAATCTTTGTTACTAATAGAATTTCAAACTAGTTACAGTGACCATGGACAAATCCTGATGGGAAAATAATATTTGGTTAAACAAGTTTGATTAAGTTAGCATCCTGTTATTAATTTGCAGGCAGTTTTTGTTTACTTAACAAGTATCAGATTGTTGTCTTATGCCAAAATTATATATGAATCTGTTAGGAACGGGATTGGCACTAAGAGGGGGGGGTGAATTAGTGCAGCGATAAAAACATCGGTTCTGAAAAATCTCTTCGTACGATAAAAACCGATTTCGGAAACTTAACTTGAAAGCGTGTTCGTAAAAGTATTGAAGGCAGTTTGCAGTTAATGTAAATTGCAAGAAGGAAATGCAAACCAGATTTTATAGCAGTTCGGTCGTCGTGACCTACATCCACTCCATCGATTCCTCTTCCGTCGAGGCCATCAGCATCCACTATCGGTCTTCCTTCAATAGGCGAAGATCAACCACCTTTTACACCCCTCTTCTCCTTTTCCTGGGTTTAGGAGACAACCCTTACAAGCACTCACTTCTCTCTTACAGAATTCTAAACTTAGAGTGGAGGAGAGAATTTCTCAAGAGATTGCAGCAGCGTTTTCTGACTTTTAAATTCTCTATGCTTGCGTTCTTTAACCAGGGATGAAAGGGGTATTTATAGGCCTCAAGTTGATTCAAACTTGGAGCCTAAAAACATCTCATCCCGGGTTTCCTGGGCACGGGCGGTACCACCGCCTATGCTGGGCGGTACCACCGCCAGTGTCAGTCTGACACTGACACTGTGCTGGGCGGTACCATCGCTTGACACTGGGCGGTACCACCGCCTACAGCCTCTCGGAGGCTGTGTCTAGGCGGTACCACCACCCAAACCGGCGGTACCACCGCTTGACACAGTCTCGGAGACTGTGCCACGACGATGTCATTTCTTAGGACACTGTTTGGGCCTCTCATTAGGCCCAACACTATTCTTACATGGGCCCAACTGGCCCCTAATTGGGTTGGCCCAAATCCAAACCCAATTACGTGCTAACTACGATTCCTAAGACATATTCTAAGTTAAACAAGTCCGTATGTCTAGTTTCTTCCGGCGAGCTTCCGGCGAACTTCCGACGATCTCTCGGTAATGTTCCAACGGACTCCCGGCAAGCTCCTGGACTTCATGACGATCTTCTTAACGAGTTCTGACGAGCTTCTTTGGCAAGCTCTTAGACTTCTCGGCTGGTTCCTGCATAACTTCCGATGCACTCTCGAACTCCCAACGAAATCACGTCCTTGACTCCGGGACTTCATTTTGCTTTATGTCTTGCTATTATAGTTAATGCTGCACATGTAAAAATATACTTTGATCTAGACAATTAATACTAAGCATTAATCATATTGTCCGGCATGTCATTGGTCCCTCGACACTTCGTCCGATTCTTCGGCGCATCGTTTTCTCTTGCCGCCTTTTGCTCAATCGGCCAGTTGACTCCGCAACTCCGATATCCTTGGCGTAATATCCGTTCTTCTTGGTCCGATGCCCGAATCTATGGCTCGAAACCTTCTGTCGATACGTCGACCGATCCTTCGGCCCGACGTCCAATCTTCTGACATGTTTTCCTCCGGCCCAACATGATTCTTCCTGCTTTAATTGTCTCATCCTGATCGAAGCATCCTGCGTCACTCAAAACGCAGATCAAATCATAAACACTTATTAATTGGTTTCATCATCAAAATCCGAGATTCAACAATCTCCCCCTTTTTGATGATGACAACAAATTGATGACGAAGTTAACCTTAACTCCTGGAGTTTAAACAAACTCCCCCTATCAATATGCCATATTGATAGAACCTTGAATTCAAGCTGAATTCAAGTTATTGCAAATTTCATCATGAATATTTGCAACACTTCATCATGCATAACATGATCATACTTCTCCCTCTTTGTCATCAACAAAAAAAAGAAGTGTAACTTTCAAATGTTTGGACATACTAGTTCAAATTGTTGCATAATAAACATCAACTTTTATCATCATGCAAGCTAGCAAAAATTTTACAGCATTTTAAAACATGCAAGCTAGCAATATTTCGAAAGCAAATGCAAGATAGCTTTCTTGTTGAAGTGTGCAAGCTAGCGATTTTAAGATGTTCAAGAAGCAACTCTTGCTTCTTGAAATATACAAGTTTGTAAATCTTGCTAGATGTGCAAGTTAGCATGTTTTGCTTCTTAAGATAAGCAAGATAGCACTTCTTTCTCCATGCAATTTGCAAGCTAACAAATTTTTGCTTCCTTTGCAATGTTTGAGCTAGCAATTTTGCTTCCTTTGCAAAGTGCAAGTTTTTAAATTTTACAAGATGAGCTAGCAATATTTCTCCCCCTTTGTCAATATCAAAAAGAATGGAAGAATACAATGTTGTAATTCTTTTCCCTTTACAACAATTTTCAAAGAATGACAAAGGTAAAAAAAAAATTGAATATCAAAAGATCATATATCATTTTTGACAAGAAAGCATGATAGGAAAATAATCTTGATTAAAAAAGAAGATTCAAGTCTAAAATTCGAGAAATCAAGATCATGATCCGAAAAAGAATATATAAGGAGAGTTTATGCATTTTTGTAATTTGCCTAAATTTAACATTCAAACTAGCAATTTTCTATCTCCCCTTTATTGTAATCAAGGAAGAAGTAGAGTGGAAGAATATAATTTTTACATCAATACTCTACTTATAACATGAGGTTTATAACCACAAATACAAAGGAATTTATACATCATGTCATGAAAGATAATAATATCAAATCATGAATGCCACAAGGCATGATTTATTTCATCAAATCTCTTCTTTTTATAAATGGATAAAAGAAACATAGGAGATCTTGATTCGTGCATAAGAAATCTCAAGTTATAAATTTTGAAAAATGATTCGATTGGATATATTATCTTATTATTAAAACGAATCATATGAAAAGAAATCTAAAATCATCATGTAAAATTATCAAAATCTTTTACATAGTCCAAGAGATTCATAGATTCATTATGATAATTTTCTTCTTTAGACGATAAAATCACATGAGAACAAAATGATTCATATAAAATACATCTCATGTCATAAACATGAATAAATTAAGTGTTTGGTTAAATATGAAAACAAATTGTCAAATCTAAAATTATCATCAAAATCATTTTTCGGATCATTTAATGAAAGCACTATAGATATATTAAAAATAGCTCAAGTTCTTTTAGTTCCAAATTTTATGATTGATTTCATGTTCAAGTCTTTCATACAAAGGTCATGCTTCATTATTTATAATAAAAAAATAATATGAAAATCATAGAAATCATCAAGCTCAATAAACCCAAAACTTATTATTACTTCAAATCACCATGCATAATTATAAAATCGTCAAGCATGATACCAAGACTTTTTAACATTTCCATTACATCATTACATCATTATGCATCATTAAATCATTAAACATGATTTCATTAAACATGATTTCATTAAACATGAAGCATCTTCAATCAAAATCGAGAAACAATATGGAAATCAACATGATACATATTATTTCTTCTTGAAAAACATACATATGATTATCATTAGATTTAAATCTAACATTTTATTCCTTTAACATAAAACATGTAATTTTCATTATCATTTTCAAAATTACTAACATGATAAGCATGATTCCTTTTTTTTTTTTGCATTTTCATTTATTAAACATGTAATTTTCAAGAAAAATAACTATTCTAAACTAAATTAAAAGTAACTCATGAAATGCATTATGTAATTTCAAAATAAATTAAGGGCATTTTGATTACCTCATCGTCGAAAGTTGTTAAGGCGTAGTTTGCCACCTCGCATTTGTTTTTCTCCTCGTCTTCGGATGAGCTTGATTCGTCCCAAAGGGCTTCCTTCTTCTTGCGTTCATAGCAAGTAGTTGCGTTCTTTTTATTTTTGTTCTTTAACTCATGTTTCATGAACCTTTTAAATTTCATAGTGAGGAGTTCATGTTCACCATCACTTGAGCTTATGCTCGAGTAGTCTTCAATTGTTCTAAGTTCAAAATCCTTCCTGTTCTTTGGAAGGTGGTTCTCATGTTCGTCAAGTGCCACATTAGTCATTTCGTAGGTCATTAAAGACCCGATGAGTTCTTCGATCAAAAAAGTATTCAAATTTTTTTATTCTTGAATAGCCGTTACTTTCGAATTCCAATTTTTAGAAAGTGATCGTAAAATCTTGTTAACGAGTTCAAAATTCGAAAAGCTTTTACCAAGAGCTCTTTAACCATTGACGACATCCGTAAAACGAGTGTACATGTCAACAATGGTTTCACTCGGCTTCATTCAAAAAAATTCAAAATCATGCATTAAAAAATTAATTTTCGAATCTTTAACATTGCTAGTGCCTTCATCTGTGATTTCGAGAGTGCGCCAAATTTCGAAAGTCGTTTCGCACATAGAAATTCGATTAAACTCGTTTTTGTCTATGGCGCAAAATAAGGCATTCATAGCCTTTGCATTTAGAGAAAAAATCTTCTTCTCCAAATCATTCCAATGATTCATTAGAAGATAAGACCTTTGAAAACCAAATTCAACTATGTGTCATAAATCGAGATTCAATGAAAGCAAGAAAACTCTCATTCGAGTTTTCCAATAAGTGTAGTCCGTCCCATTGAAAAAGGGAGGACGAATAAGAGAGTAACCCTCTTGAAAGTCGAAAAGAGTCATTTCTCTTTGGGTGTTAAACCAAATGAGAAACGAGGCTCTGATACCAATTGTTAGGAATGGGGTCGGCACTAAGAGGGGGGGGGGGGGTGAATTAGTGCAGTGGTAAAAACGTCGGTTCTGAAAAATCTCTTCGTACAATAAAAATCGATTTCGGAAACTTAACTTGAAAGTGTGTTCATAAAAGTATTGAAGGCAGTTTGCAGTTAATGTAAATTGCAAGAAGGAAATGCAAACCAGATTTTATAGTGGTTCGGTCGTCGTGACCTACATCCACTCCGCTGATTCCTCTTTCGTCGAGGCTATCGGCATTCACTATCGATCTTCCTTCAATAGGCGAAGACCAACCACCTTTTACACCCCTCTTCTCATTTTCCTGAGTTTAGGAGACAACCCTTACAAGCACTCACTCCTCTCTTACAGAATTCTAAATTAGAGTGAAGGAGGGAATTTCTCAAGAGATTGCAGCAGCGTTTTCTCACTTTTAAATTTTATGTGCTTGTGTTGTTCTTTAACCAGGGATGAGAGGGTATTTATAGGCCTCAAGGTGATTCAAACTTGAAGCCTAAAAACATCTCATCCTGGGTTTCCTGGGCATGGGCGGTACCACCGCCCAGACTGGCGGTACCACCGCCTGCAGCCTCTCGGAGGCTGTGTCTGGGTAGTACCACCGCCCAGACCGATGGTACCACCGCCTGACACAGTCTCGAAGACTGTGCCACGACGGTGCCACTTCTTGGGACACTGTTTGGGCCTCTCATTGGGCCCAACACAGTCCTTACAAGGGCCTAACTGGCCCTTAATTGGGTTGGCCCAAATCCAAACCCAATTACGTGCTAACTACGATTCCTAAGACATATTCTAAGTTAAACAAGTCCGTAAGTCTAGTTTCTTCCGGCGAGCTTCCGGTGATCTTCAAGCGAACTTCCGATGATCTCTCGGCAATATTCCAGCGGACTCTTGGCAAGCTCCTAGACTTCACGACGATCTTCTTAGCGAGTTCCGATGAGCTTCTTTGGCAAGCTCCTGGACTTCTCGGTTGGTTCCTGCAGAACTTCCGACGAACGTTTGGACTTCCAACGAACTCTCGAACTCCCAACGAAATCGCGTCCTTGACTCCGGGACTTCATTTTGTTTTATGCCTTGCTATCGTAGTTAATCCTACACATTTAAAAACACACTTCGATCTAGACAATTAATACTAAGCATTAATCATGTTGTCCAGCATGTCATTGGTCCATCGACGCTTCTTCCGATTCTTCGGCGCATCATCCTCTCTTGCGGCTTATCGCCCAATCGGCCAGTTGACTCCGCAACTCCGATATCCTTGGCGCAATATCCGCTCTTCTTGGCCCGATGCCCGAATCCATGGCTCGAAGCCTTTTGTCGATACGTCGACCGATCCTCTGGCCCGACGTCCAATCTTCTGACATGTTTTCCTCCGGCCCAACATGATTCTTCCTGCTTTAATTGTCTCATCCTGATCGAAGCATCCTGCTTCACTCAAAACGCAGATCAAATCATAAACACTTATCAATTGTTTCATCATCAAAATTCGAGATTTAACAGAATCCATTAGGTTGTTGTTATTATGATCAAGAGAACTTGCTAATCATTTGCAAATTCCAACTTTTCATTCCTTGTCACCTTACATTGTTCTCCTAAATGATATTGGCATTGATGAAGGTGCAATATCATGTCTAAATGTTCGTCAATCTAAGATCGTAGTGACACGGGAGGTTATGGGAGCTTAAACTCACATTTTTGGAGTATTGATCTTTTCCATGGTTCTGCGATCCAATGCACAGTTGTTGTCTGTGTTTGTTGGAGTGGGAGATATCTGCTTATAGATTTGTGTAATTTGCAATTTAATGAAAGAAGTTTGCAATGTTTTGCAGTCAGCTTGAACTCGTATTATCATTACAAATGATAAATCTGTAACACATGGAGTTTGTGTAAGTTAACATTGTAACATGTAGGAGAACAGTTCTGAAATTGCAACTGTCAAAGAAATAATTTAAGTAGCACATGATAGTGTGCCCAAATTTTGGTAACAAGAAATTATGAATAAGGCTTTTGTCAAATTCAATACTGGCTGAGATATTGCATATGCCTAGAGAATAAGAAAAAGAAAACCCTTGGTTAATAGAAATCTTTCTCTTTGTTGAAAGTTTATTCAAGTAGTTAACGTTCATTATAGGTACTCTTTATCTCTGTTGATTGGTCAGAAATTTGCCGGAATTTGACAAGTTAAAAATTGCATCAATAACATAAAGGTAGCGAGTGCCTAGGAAGCATCCATATAAACTAATTGGTTAACTATTTATAATGATTTTTTTTTTAATTAACCACTATTAACAATATTTTAATTACTTTCTTTTTTCTTTTCTTTTTTTTCATTTCTTCACTTTTCCTTTGAATTCTCTTTCTTGTTTTCTCTTTAAAATGGGAATTTGACTCGATATAAAGTTTGTTAGAGTTTAAGTCTTTTATCATATTTTGTATCCAACTTTACTCCCATTACCGCCAGATGTCCTATCTCTCTCATGGGGAATGGCTGCTATTAGCAGCATGTGATGGTAGTCGAAATGGTAGTGACAATCAAGTGGTTCATGCAGTAGCATCAATGACAACAGGTAATGTGATAGAAGTAGCAACAATGACAAGTGATGATAGTGAGTGACAACAGAGGCATGGTAACAGACTTGTGAAGTTCAATTAATTAGGTTTATCCTCCTCTCTTCTACTGTCATCTTCTATTGCCATGCACCTTATAGGATACCAATTGTGAGTCAAATTACCAGTAGTTGTGATTCCTTTATGGTGTGAGATTACTAGTTTGGTATTTATGGAGATTTTAACTCATGTACATGTTTATGTATGACTCTGTTAAATTCACCCTACATGAAGGGTTTATAAATGTGGGTTTGAGATTGCCAATAACCTTAAGCATTCACTGTTCATTACTCCTGAGGTTTTAGGAACCCATGATTGGAGACAGTGTTCAAATCTAAATTAAGCATGACACTTAAGAAGTAAAAAAAGTTTTATTGTTTGCTGCTTCTCTTTACATGACATGTAAATATTTTTGATAATATGCTGATAAGTACTCTTCTTTTTAGGTATTCAAATATTGTTGTCAATTGTGTCCAGAAATGCCAGGGGCTCGCTCATATTTGACTTTACACTTTGATGCATTATTTAAATCAAATCATATTTAAATTTTAAACTCAAATTAAGTTTTGAAAGATATACACATTTTCTAATAGGGACTGAATTTTGAAATATTTTCTGTGTGAATCTTGGGTGATCAGGATTCAAATATCATAGAAACCTTTCTGCTACATGTCTACTTATAGGAGTAAAACTAAATACATCGACCTTTCCATACTTTGCATTGGTAGGACCTCGAGCAATGGGCAACTTGTATGTCTAAGAAAGGTAGAGGGATGTGTAACATTGCTCCTTACTGCTACCTTTTTTCTTTGGTGCTGCTGTTGCATTCTTCTTTTCCTTTTTCTTGTATATGCAAACAGCAGCAGTGGAGAGTGTGATTAAGCATGGCCACTGCTTCTCTTCTTTCCTTTTTTTCCTCTATTTCCTTTAAAGTAGTTGCTTGGGTATTTTACATGACTGAGTTCCTGTGCTCTGAACTCATAATGGTGCTCCAACGGTTGCTTGAAAGTTTCTGATTGTATTTTGTTCTCATTCTTATGCTGCATCATCAAAGTAATGGTTGCAAATTTATCATTTTTAGTGAGTCGTCAATTGAAAATAGTGATCAGTGTGTTTTGATCCTTGTTTTAACTTTAGTGAGTAATCACCTGTTTCATTCTTTGTACAGTAGCTACTGATTTACCAAACAACCTATTTGCTGAACAGATAGCTATATGAAACGACTGTACATGTTGGTTTTGTTGCAGGTTCTGCATGGATGGCACTCTCCCATTCCTTCATCGACTATTGCATATGGGGCTGGGAAAACCTTCCACGAACAGTGCTCATGTACTATGCCAACTTCATCTCCTCACCAGAAGGTTACTTCCACACTGTCATATGCAACGCAAAGGAATTCCGCAATACCACTGTCAATCATGACCTCCACTTCATCTCATGGGATAATCCTCCGAAGCAGCACCCGCACTACCTAAGCATTAATGACATGTCGCCCATAGTAGATAGCAATGCACCATTTGCACGGAAGTTCCGCAGGGACCATCCTATACTCGACAAGATCGACGCTGAGCTATTGTTCCGTCGGCCAAACATGATTGTTCTAGGAGGGTGGTGCGTAGGGAGCAGAGAAAACGGCAGTGATCCCTGCCTGGTCATTGGGAATACCACCATCCTTCGACCAGGTCCTGGTGCAATCAGGCTGGAGCGACTTATGCTGTCTCTCTTGTCGGAGGAGAATTTCCGCCTGAGACAGTGCAAGTAATCACATGATAATCGTTTTAGGTAAAAAGTATTTGGTTCAATTCACTTCCAGTATTTGGTTATTAGTGAAAAATATAATATAGTACACGGTCCAGGCCAAAGAGACCTGTGCCATGGCTAAAACAGAGTGTCTAAAGAAGCATGATTTGTGTCTGATGTTGTGAAAGGGACAGGATGCAGGTTTTATTCTGTGGTGACAGACCCTTTGGAACACATCTTATACTAAAGTTTTATTTAATCTTAAAAGACTTTCCAGTGCATAGTGAATTTTGGTCTTTTAATGATCTTTTTATTTTTTTTCTATTTTGCAAAGGATAAGTGATGATGATGGAGAGACCTTTAATTTTTACCAAAGAGACGAGCCGATGATTTCAATGATCAATCCGCTTACCACTGAAAATATAGCATTTGAGTGTGGCTTGTTTCAGTATGATTTAAAATCTTGATCCAAAATCAATATACATCGGTGTACAGACCGATGCGGTTCGGTATGGGAAGAAAGAAAGAGTACATTTAGAAGGAGAGAGAGAAATAAATAAAGAGTAGAAATAACAGCGGAAGAGATATCTCAGATACTCGAGCCTTGTAACCCTGTTGTCAATTTTACTTACTCATGTCTGCATCTGCTGCTGTAGAGAGCTGTGGGCCTTTGCTCAGGCAGATGTTTCTGTCACCCGGTCCTTTTTTTATTTCTTCTTTCTCCAGAGACCATGATGAGCTTATTAGCTATCCTTTTCCTGACGAGCATCTAATTAGATAGATCGTAACACAAGGAATGTAAAGGTAGGAGATGACAAATATATAGCCAACTGCAACCTCATCATCTGTTGACGTTAAATAGTTGTCATCAGTCCATCTAAGGTAAAATCAACTCTTAGATTACATTCTTGGCTTGTTTTTTAATCATTTAGAGTCTTGAAATATTTTATTTTTGGATCATTTGGTTATGGGTAATGAATGGCCACCTTAGTTCTCCATCCATTGGTCAAACATCAAACACCTTCGTTATATCATGTTTGAATAGAACGAACAAACTTGAGTTTAATCTACTCAAGCAGTGAACGTTGGAAAGAAATCTTCCTCCGGTTTAATGAGATGAAGATACGAGCGAAGGAGATCTTTGTCCACTTAGGCCCCTCCGATGACGTGGCAGGTGTCCATTGAGTGCTCCGCGGAGCCCCACGTGGGGTCTAACGTCGGGATCCGTCGGCTCACTTTATTCCTGTCCGAGCACGAGCAGCTGAGCTCCGACGCGAAACCCGGGGGGCCCCACTTGGTATCCTAGTGAGTGACGCTCGAATCAGTTTTGTTCTTTTATTTTCATTTTGGGGCTGCCATTTATTTCCCTCATGCAAAGCTCTGCTACAAAAGTGTATCAGAATCGCCTCAACTCCAAAGAGAAGATAAAGAGAAGCTTCAAAAGGAAAAGACCACCACAGGCATATCCCCTCCTCCTCCTCCTCCTCCTCCTCAAGCACCACCACCGGATCCCCATATAAGAATTACCTCCACATACTCTCCCCCTCCCCCGCCCCCCCCACCTCTCAACCCACCACCACCACACCTTTCTTCCGTTTCCTCGGCCACCTGTTTGCTCCGAGGACAGGAAAGGGAGTGGAGGAGGAGGAACAAGTGAAGCAGGAATACAAGAAAGAGAAGAGGATGCGCAGTGGTAGGTCCATGAGGGCCTTCCTCACTGGCCTCGCATGCCTCTTGTGTCTCGGCCTCTTCATCTCTGTCTCCGTAGTCGGTAGAGGAGCAAATGCTACACCACCGCCACCAATACCAGTGACTGCTGCTGTCGTGGCTTCGTCAAGAGGTAATAGGCCAACAGGGGACAGCAGCTTCGACCCTTTCCATGCTAGTAAAAGAAGGGTGCCCAATGGCCCTGATCCCATTCACAACAGGTATCATTAACACTCTTATTCTTCGTATGTGGCTCCTCCAATCTTCACTTCTTCATCTCAATGCTTCGATGCTCTTGTGATTGAGGCTTAACTTGTTTCATTTAGAAATCACTGTCCTCAAGCTCACACACAGAAGAAGCTTCCTTTTCTCTCTCTCTCTCTCTCTCTCTCTCTCTCTCTCTCTCTCTCTCTCTCTTAGAATCTTGGACTACGGATTTGGACCTCACAATGGCTCAGTTATGGACAGGTTTCAAAGTAGATTTTAGTGGTTGTATCTCTTTTAGGACTCACTAGTACAGAACTGGCATGCTGGCTGTCAAGGACCCAATTGTAACTTTCACTCTTTGTCATTGATGTTTACTGTTCATCCAGGATACAGAAGACAAAGAAAAGAAACACATAATTCAAGCATAAACAGACACTTGTAATCTTTGAACAAACAAGCATAAGATGATCATCGCATGCATAGAAACTAGTCACCTTACTTCCAATTGTCTTCGATGGACGGTAGCACTGCGCCACGTTTAACCACCGTCGCTGTGTCTGTGGCTTTCAGGAGAGCAGGGAGGTTCGGGCGGCCGCCTGTGCGAGCGTAGCGGAGCGAGCGAGCGAGCGAGAGAGACAGAGAGAGGAGGAGTTCAGCTTGGGCGGTGGATTATTCTCAGCTTGCATGTAACCACGAAATGGGCCATCTTTAAACACTCCTAAGACATTAGCCGTAATATCCACGCTTTGCCAAAGTGCTCTGCTTTATGAATTGTTCTTGGTGGTGGTGGGGGAGTGTGTAAAGAGCGAGTCCCATTCCCGTCTTCCCTCGCAATTCAAACATTCTTCTAGGGCAGCAGTGGATTATCTACCATGGAAAGATGAGGAGGAGATGGAACAGAGACCGATAAATGTTGTTGGAGTTGTGTGAAAACTAAGCCACATCCTTGTCATGTATTGGTTTCTTTTGTCATTGTTGCACTGTAAGTAAAGCAATCCGACCAGTTAAAGACACTTTAATCTCTCACTTCTTTTGCTTTACCTCTCTCTCTCTCTCTCTCTCTCTCTCTCTCTCTCTTCTCTCTCTCTC